CGGGGCGTGGAAGAAAAGAAAAGAAGAAATGGGGTCAAATTGAAAATTTTAAAATATATAAAATTCGAATTTGGCCCTAATGACCGGAAGTTAACCTAGAAACGGGCTAATGGCTCATTAGTGAAAGGATTGTGTAAGTTCAGGGATTTTTGTGAAAGGATTTGAAGTTCAGGTACCACTTCGAAATTTCAGCTAAAGTTCAGGTACCATTTGTGAAATTTACCCTTTAAAAACTACATCAAAAGTTCTACAAAACAAGTAGTGACAAGACTATATTATTTTATCAAATACCTAATGAAAATAGGTAAAGAAAGTGATTAAAGTTTGACCGTGTGAATAGTAAGTGGGAAGAACATTTCAAGACGGAGGGAGTATAATCCTTTACTACTCCATATAATATTTGAGGAATAATTTCGGTAATGGTGCCTGAACTTTCACTAGAATTTCAAAGTGATACCTGAACTTTAAATCCTTTTACAAAACTACCTGAACTTACATAATCCTTTGACTGAAAATCCATTTACCCATTTTTCCAGGTCAACTTCTGGTCATTTAGGCTAAATTAGAATTTTATATATTTTAAAATTTTTAATTTGACCCCATTTCTTTTTTTCTTCTTCTTCCCCCTCCCACTCCCTTCTTTTTCTTCTTCTTTCACCCCCTTTCTTCTTCTTCTTCTTCAAAGCTTCCCTCACCCCACCCCACTCCCGGTCCCACCCTTCCACCCCCCACTCTCTCCCTTCCTCTTTTTTTCAGAATTTTTAAATCTTTTTTGTTAACAAATATTTTATTTTTTATTGCTATTTAAAGTATTATATTTTTCATAAAAATAATGTAAAAATTACTCCCACCACCCTAAATTGAATTACAATTTCTCATTTATGAGGCAAAATCCCAGACTTTTTAAAATCAATTGATGAATCGAGGGGTAGAAGAAGAAGATAAAAAGTTTGGGGCCGCGATGGAAGGAGATCGAGAAGCAGCACGGAAACAAAGAAAAGTAAAATAAAATAAAAGGTCTAAAGTGACCTTTTCAAATATAAATGGTGGAAAAGCAAAAAAAAGGAAGACATTGTGTTTTTTAAGCTTACCCCATTGGAGCGTATTTTTTGGCCTCTCATTTTCCAAAAAAAATACTCTCTCCGTCCTAAAACTATCTTCTCAGTTATTATTCACATGATCATATACACTTGTCACCGCTTGTTTTGTATAACTTTTGATGTAGTTTTTAAATATATAAATTTTATTTTTTAATTTTACACCTACAATCGAATAAATTGAATTAAAAATAAAGTCGGTCAAACCTCGTAAACACAAACGGGAAGATGATTTTAGGACGGGGGAGTAATAAAAAATGGCATTTAGTACTGCCCTTGGCGATGTGATCGCGGAGAACTAACGCGGCGGCCCCTGCATAGCAATGTAAATCCAACCACATACGGCAAGCGGTGCACCAATGTAATAGAAAATCGTCATGAAATTGGTTCCACCCTTTGATTCTTTCTTTGTTTTCTTCTTTGATCCCACGACGACAAGCGGGGAATTGCTACTTCTAACGGGACCAGCTGCACAGTAGTCGCCAGCGAAGGGTTCCCTCCGAACGACGTAGGAGGAAACCTTTCGAGCAGAGACGGAGAGAGTGGGGGGCTGGCGGGGTGGGACTGGGAATGGGAGTGGGGGGGTGAGGAAGAAGAAGAAGAACGGGGTGAAAGAAGAAGAAAAAGATGGGAGTGGGAGGAGGAAGAAGAACAAAGAAATGGGGTCAAATTGAAAATTTTAAAATATATAAAATTCTCATTTGACCCAAATGAACGGAAGTTAACCTGAAAACGGGTAAATTGACTTTTAGTGAAAGGATTATGTAAGTTCAGGTACTTTTGTGAAAGGATTTAAAGTTTAGGTGCTATTTCGAAATTCCAGTAAAACTTCAGGTACCATTACTGAAATTTACCCAATATTTGAGATTCCGACTCACAAAACTTCAACAAGTAACCGCTCTATTTGGAATTTTTTAACAATTCTTCTCTCATCTATTTATTATTTTAATTAATAAGTAATTTTAATCAATATATGAAGTAGTGATTTGATATTATTTTATTTTTTAATGATTGAACAAAGTGACCAAGTAAATTGTTTTTTAAGTTTCATGCGGTTAATCTTAAAAATTATTAATTCTGTTCATTTTAAGTCTCTGATTCATTTTTCGAGTGATATGTGTAACACCCTAATCCGTCCAGGTCTGCATCCCCATTCGGACTAAAGTATTTAACTTGGTAATCGTAAAAATTTAAAACTTTTCAAACACACTTGATTAATCCCAATAATATTTTTCATAACATATACAGTACGGAGTATTCAACAATATTGCGGAAGCGATTTTGATATTGACATATCATAAATTGTTTCCAAAACTTGTCACATCCATCCCGACAATCTCGCCCCATCTGCCGCCGGGATCACATTGTGCTTTCTGCTTACCTGCGTGTAGCAAATAAAACACACTACACGCTCAGCGGTAAAGCTGAGTAAGCATATCTAATGCGTCGAACATCCATATAAACTGAATCTAAATTCATAATCAAATCATTTGATATCATGCACACAATGTTCATTTCAGACATTCACAGTTTTGGTATTATTCAGTTCATATCAACACATTTTATTCAATTCAGATATTAATCCAATAGTGCTCTTAAATTATTCTTAATCTAAGGCCAGATCATAACAACACTCTTAGCTATTCTTAGTCTAAGGCCAGATCATAACAACGCTCTTAGCTATTCTTAGTCTAAGGCCAGATCATAATAATGTTCTTAGCTATTCTTAGTCTAAGGCCAAATCATAATTTCCATAACCAGATTCTTAAAAGGCAATTATTAATGAGACACTTAAACTATCATTAGTTTAAGGCAATTGATTTCGGACACTTAACTGTAGTCAGTTAAGGCAATCAGACACTTAAACTATCACTAGTTTAAGGCAAATGATTTCGGACACTTAACTGTAGTAAGTTAAGGCAACAACAATATAGCGATTGGTCAACAATGGATCGGGCATTCCCAACGAGTAATCCTCCAGTTTGGTCTACGAATCCCGTTTATGAATTTATATCTAATTCATCAACTATTCATGTTTTCATAAGTTCATTCTAAGATATATTCTAGAGGTTTTCTAGTTAGTCTTAACATTAATTAGCTAATATGTATATCTTAAAGTTCTTCTAGATATCCTTAACAACATTATTCATCAATTCATACTCTTAGTTCAACAATCATTTCATCCAGAATATTCATCATCATTAATCCATAATATTCATAAAAATGAACAATCAATTAATCATCATAATAACTAATAACAATCAGCGGCCTAGCATCGAGTGTTAACACCCTAGCTTACCGTCATGCATCACATAAGATCCCTTTTAGTTGTTAAAATACCATCTTTATTCCAAGAAATCATCCTTTTATTAATCATAATGGTTTGGTATCAAAATATAGGATTCCATAACTTAAAAATCACATTTTCTAAATAAAAATTGATTAATATATGATAGGAAATTCAACTATTAGCTATTAGCTTCATTTTCTTCAATAGTGTAGGGTGACAGTCTATTGTCACTTCTGATAATCTACTGTCTGATGTTCAGAATGGGCTGATAATCGATTATCACACTCTGATAATCGATTATCAAACTTCAGAGAGGGCTGACAGTCGATTATCACATTCTGATAATCGAGTGTTGCTCAGCTTTGTTACAAAAATCTGCAGAACGATGAATAATCGATTTTCAAGTTGATAATCGATTATCCATCGTCTTCTACCTCGAGCCAACTTGCGGAAATGTCACTTTTACTCACCAAACTTCAATTAAAGTATATAAAAGTGTTCTCCAAGGTTCATAGATCATTTTGGCATCATTAATTCATAGTTTTAACATCAAAATCATGGTTTACGATTCTTAGTTCTTCAAACATGTCAAACACAAAACTCAACCAAATGAACGTTTATGAACGTAAAATCGATCTATATGAACATTCTAGTCACTAGATATATCTACGGGNTCGATTATCACATTCTGATAATCGACTGTTGCTCAGCTTTGTTACAAAAATCTGCAGAACGATGAATAATCGATTTTCAAGTTGATAATCGATTATCCATCGTCTTCTACCTCGAGCCAACTTGCGGAAATGTCACTTTTACTCACCAAACTTCAATTAAAGTATATAAAAGTGTTCTCCAAGGTTCATAGATCATTTTGGCATCATTAATTCATAGTTTTAACATCAAAATCATGGTTTACGATTCTTAGTTCTTCAAACATGTCAAACACAAAACTCAACCAAATGAACGTTTATGAACGTAAAATCGATCTATATGAACATTCTAGTCACTAGATATATCTACGGGTTTACTTCGAAGCTTAACGGAGGTTTTGAAAATTTTCCGGCGAGACTTCTGGCGACGATTAGTCCCAACTCCGGCGACCTCTCACCAAATTGACGGCACCACTGCGTTCTCCTTACTTAGAGCAGTAGAATAGGAAGAAGTTTTGTGAGAAATGGTGAAGAATTGAGTGAGTTGGGTTTTCTTATATAGAGTGGTGAGGAAGAAGAAGACGCAAGATGATGATGATTGATCGGTTAGTGCGTTCGGAGGCGCCGACTGAACAGTTGGGACCAATTTTGGTTCTAGTCGGGGTACACTTTTTGGTCCAACTTTCTCTGAATTGAAATCCGTTCGCACCGTTGCGATCAGACAGTCGAATTCTATTCAACGATATACTTTTCATAATTATTTGTAATATTTTTTCCGACATCATATTTTTGGGTGGTTGACTTTGATAGAGTAAAAATTGATTCAGTTGACCTTTATTTAAAAAAAAGTTCTCATATTTAATTCATATTAATTATTCTCATCATTTATTTCAATAAATCATTTTAATGTTCACATCATAATTAATTTCTTCATTTATTCTTGATTTGGGTCTGTACTCAATTTCCCAATCAAGGCCACACAAATAGTCAATAAATTGGATTTATCTCTATGAGATTTATCCTGATTATGATATGGGATATCGAAACATATTTTTATCGGCCCAAAGCCCATAACAATTTATTTTAACTAAAACAAATTTGATTTATTTTAATAATTATCTATTAATAATTCTAAGGTATGTTTTGGGGCGTTACAATATGTCTCACCAATGAAATTTCTTAAATATATTAGTAAAAAACTATTTAAAATATTATATTGAACGTATTTTTATTCAGATATTATAGTCTATTTTTTATATTTTAATTCGTTATATATTTATATATATAGTTATTCAAATATTTGAAAGCAATGCAAACCGTGATAATTAATGAATACTCCCTCCGTCCCCCAGTTTTCGTCCACTTTTGACTTTTGGAAATGTTCATCTAAACACTTTGACTCATCAAATTGTCTCTATGTGTAAGCCTAAATATAGTCATGTGTGATCTTGTTTGATTTGTCTTAACATATAGATTATTAATATATAATTTCTATAATTTTTTAATATACAAATTACAAGATAAAATGGATTAAAGAAGTGCATTGGATGGTATGCAAAAATGAAAGTGGACAAATATTCTGGGACGGAGGGAGTAATAGTTTAAAATTATTCAAACATACTAATATATGTACCATATATACTTATGGGGAAGGGGGGGGGGTAAAGAACACTTCTTATTTTTTATTTAGAATTATATTTTTGTATAAAAAATTGATTTAGAGTCATTTATTTAAATGAATAATTTGTCATGCATAAAATTTTTTGAATAAATTTTATGAATTTTATATAATCTTCATCCCAAAAACTCCTTCCCCCTTTTTTTTCTTGTCCTATAAACTCCTTCCCCTTTTTTATTAAAAATCACTTTTACCCCTACTAATTCTTAACTTAACTATCACATCATACCTTTTTACTAATAATCTATCCATCTGATAGATATCCTGGACATGGGGTATCCGGTCTTTGTATAATATTAGTTGGGCGGTCCAGTCTGTTGAATCAGTCTGTTAGTCGTGTATTAATTATTTATTTAGGGGCGGCTCAATCTGCTGGACCGACCCATTAGTCCGAAACCCTAGTCCTAACTCTCCTTTATTTATACACCATCCTTATTCTTCTTCTTCATATACACTTTCTCCTTCTTCCTCTATTCATCAATTCCATAATCCAACAATGGTACTTCATTGTGAGTGCGTGCTCTCAAAATTTTTTAACCAAATCTTTTCTGTTCTTTTTTCGGAGATTCATCCTTGTGGGGAACTGAATCCTTCCATTCTCCGGGAGAGACTGCACAAATTCATGGATTTAGAAAAAATCCATCAGGAGGAGTGTCGAAACCCGATCTGGAGAAGGCGATTCTCTCGCCACCAAGTACATCGTCCTTCTCAGCTCGCCAGACAAGGTCTTTGACACCGGAGTATAGCATCGCTCTCGGCTCCAGAGTACCGGACGCACATTTTGAGGAACCTGCCGGCCGTTCGCGTCCTCTTCAGATTTCGGCGAGCAGCGCAGCAACGATAGAGCACGGACCAGTGACGCTTGAGGTACACAAACCAAATACTGTTGGAAGAAGCAAACAGTAGATTCATGTCCTAGTTCAGGCTCAATTAACAAGTGAGATTGCTTGAAAAGCTGCAGATCGGACCCGGACGAAGCTCGTCGCCGACGCCCAGCAGCGATCCGGCTGCTCTAGAAGTTGACAGGTCAACAGCGTGGTGTCTCTGCGACCCGTAAATTTCCGACGGCAATCAGCAGCGTGGTGTCCCTGCGACCCGCGAATTTCCGTGGAGTGTCCGGAATCTACGACCAGATGCACGATCTGGGATCAGTGACTCTCTTCTGGCTTTGCTCCGTTCACCGCTCCGTTCACTGCCCTGTTTTGGTCGGTGGAAACCAAGGATCTCCCCTGGCCAAAGTCCTCTTCATCTTAAAGTCCTCTTCTGCAAGGTTTACGGTATAATTCCCGAGAAACTGACCCCCAATAGTCATTGGAGTCTCAATAGCTTCATCAATGTTTGTTGGTTTGACCAAATTCTCCTCTCTTCGTCTCTTCGACTACATGTTTAACATACGGATTAGCTCAAAAGATTGTCTTGAATTTGTGGTCATTTCACCCCACCAAGGCCGGTCTATCCTCTCCGGCGTTCCTCCTTCCAACAGGGGTTGAAAGAAATAGTACGTCACCATTACCTTTCCTCCTAAAAGTTTTCCCTTCCACAATCCTTCGTAGAGCAACCGCCTAAAAGTTTAGGTCAAAACCCGGGTTGTCTTCTGACTTGCCTGGTTGGAAGTCCCTCCTCCGAGCTGGCGACCCTGTGACCAAAGGGACTTATAATGTGGGGAAGTGGTGCGTTTACCCTAAGTAGGCTTCCGATCCCGTGTTAGAATAAAGATCCAACGCTAGAGGGGGGTGAATAGCGTTTAAAATAAAATCGCAGGAAATTAAAACGAGAGCGTTAAAGTAAAGAGCGTAAGGAAGGAGCACACCGAATTTTATCCTGGTTCACCACAACGTGTGGCTAATCCAGCCTCCCGAGAGACTCTCTCGAGCTACACTAACTCCGTTAAGCTTAAGGGTGCTTAACAAACCGATACAACTTGAGAACCCGAGTCACACGAGCCTCAACGCCTTTGCTAGGAGATACCACACTCCAAAACTTCTCATGAAGGAACAAGGAACTTCCTTCGAGTTTACAACAAGGGAACAACCTCCCCTAAAGTGTATGAAAACACTTAAACACTCAGGAATAAAACTCTCATAAAGAGTAGATATGAGTGAACTAGTAAACGCTCAACAACACGACAATTTCTTCAAGAATTGGCTCTCAAATGGCTAGGAAAAGATAGGAATGCTTATGCAATGAAAGAGTATTGAAATGTTGAAGAATTGTGTGTAAAATGAGAGGATTTGGGTGCCATTTTATAGCCCAAAATGGGATAAAACCGGTGCTAGATTTTCCAACAGGATGAAGACAAATTTTTCAGAGTTGCAGGGTGATAGTCGATTGTCTAGACATGATAATCGATTATTAAAAGATCCCTGTCCAAAAGTTTAAAAATCTATCCGTTGGAAGACAACGGTGTTGGAATGCATGAGTTCAACCCTTTCTGTGTTGTTTAGTGTTGACTCACAGGTTTTGATAATTGACAAACACAATTTATTCAAGTCAAGATTAAATTGCTACAACGACAAGCACGAAGACTTGAAGTGCCATTCCTTGAAGTATTCAAGAAGGTGCACTGGATTTTGTTGAAGTCCGAGACGTGTTCGGAGTGCCTAACGGAGGACTCGGAGGAGCAGAAGATTTCCGAAGACTTTTTATTTATTTGAGTCTTAGGAATTATTGTAAGGATGACAAAAATATCTTCTCTCCAAAATTATTTTTATGAGAGTTAAAATAAAAATTATATTTATTTTTGGAGTCAGTTGAAAAATCTTTTTAACTGTTTAAAATAGTTTTATTGAGTCAGTTACAAAAGGTGTGCCAAACATTTATCAAATATTTATTTTGATATTATAAAATATTTTTGGTAAGCAAAAATATTTTATTCAAATATTTTTTGTGTACATCGTTTGGCACACAAAATAATTTTTGGACTCACTTTTTCTCCCCTATTCAAAATTCATTGAATGAGAAGCTTTGATTGGGGAGCGTTGCTGCCTAATTCCCGCTGTCTCAAAAAACGAGTATTCAGCCAATTCTTTATCTATCGCAACTGGCCTTGGGTCCTTTGTGTTTGCGCATTATTTCCTTATTAATCGTTTAATCTTCCAAAATTAATCGATTAACTTCTTATCGCTGAGTTTCTCTGGCCTCTAGCTTAATCGATTTTTGTTCTTATATTAATCGATTAAGGCTCACAGCGCCTTCTAATCGATTAATCCCTTTAAATTAATCGATTTTCTTTCAGCTGCATTAATCGTTGATGATGCTGCATTAATCGATTAATGTCAGTGCATTAATCGATTATTATGCTGCATTTTTTCATCCCAGCTTCTTTTCTTGGACCAACGGATATATTTCTTCACCTCCTATTTAAACACACTTCCTTGGTCATTTTTCAGAACAAGAAACACTCCAATACTCCCCACTCTTGAGGTTATAATCCTCCATTCAATTCTTCCTCAAATTGATATATTTTGAGAGAAAACTAAGTGTTTTCAAGAGAGTGTTTTGTCATCCATTAGAGCTTTAATCATTTCTCTTTTCTACTCTTTTGTGAGCTATTGTTGAGAGGTTGAAGAAGATTGTTCTTCTTGTTGTTCAAGACTTATGTGACTTAAGTCTTGGTTGTGTAGTCTTGTAGAGGGCATATCTACGAGCGGTTGTGTCGCGGCTTGTGGGATTCAAGTTCTCGAGTTGTAAACGGTTTGTTAAGCACCCGTAAGTTTAACAAAAGTAGTGGTAGCTTCGAGAGAGTCTCTCGGGAAACTGGACTAGCCACGAGGTGGTGAACCAGTATACATCAGTGTGTTCTTTGCCTTCTCTCTTTTATTTCCGCTGCACTTACGTTCATATTATTTGTAACACCCTAATCCGTCCAGGTCTGCAGCTCTTTCGAACTAAAGTATTAACTTGGTAATTGTTAAATTTTTAAACATTTCAAAATACTTTTATTTATCATAAATATTATTTAATACATAACTGTAGCAAAATACGAAGTGTTTAACAATAGTGCGGAAGCAATTTAAACCATGTTTAATAACAACACAATTATTTATTTTAAAATCACAAATTCCACCACGATAGTCTCGCCCCTTCTGCTGCCAGGAACATGCCAATCAATCATTCTGCCTACCTGGCGTGTAGCAAATAAAAAATACTACACGCTCAGCGATGAAGCTGAGTAAGCATATCTAAAGCGTCGAACATCCACATAAATTGAATCTCAATTCACAAATAACCATTTGATATCATGCACACAATATATAATCCATTCATGATATTCTTAATATTTTTATTTCAATATCTCAATATTTCATATTCAATATTCAATATTCAACAATATCCTTAAACTATACTTAGTCTAAGGCCAATTCCATTCTTAAACTGATTCTAGTTCAAGATATCCTAATCCTTAAGCTAGGCCTAGTTTAAGATATATTTTTTTAAAAAAGAGTTTTCAAATCTTAAACTTACCTTCGCTTAAGGTCAACCAAAAACCGACAGCGTAGTGTTCACTGGTTGGTTGGGTGGTACCCCCAAACGAGTAGGTACTCAAGTTTGGTTCTTGGATCCCGTACGTACGTTTTAATCCTAGCCACCGGGCATCATACCCGCAAGGCCTAACTTAAATAGGTATATCTTAGATTTCTTCTAGAGATCTTTCAACATCAATTTCATTATGGGTATATCTTAGAGTTGTTCTAGATACCCTTAACAATACATTCTCGTTATGATTATCAATATGTCCATTTTAAATCATGATTAAGTCATCAATAACCATGCTAATCAGTAGGTTTATCATTCATAATCATTCATAACAATTATTCATCATAATGATCATTCAACAAGACGTTTAACAACAAATAGCGACCTAGTCTCGAGTGTTAACACCCGAACTTACCGTCATGCATCACATAATGCTTTAATTTGTTTAAAAACATCATTCTTTTTGTGAAAACTCATTTTTATAATAATCATAATCAATTGGTATCAAAAGTAGGATTTTAGAGCTCAAAAATAGCAATTTCAGACAAATTTTCGGACCAGAGTTTCGGAGGATCGATCCTGAAGGGGATCGATCCACTCTGTGGATTTTCAGCCACTGTTCATTCGTCTTCAACCTCGGTCCATTTTTCGGGAAAACCATTTTTAGTCACCGAACTTCAATTAAACTATATAGAGATGTTCTCCAAGGTTCATAGATCATATTAGAATTATTAAAACATATTTTTAACATCAAATTCAAGGTTTATGATTCTTGGTTCTTCAAACATGTCAAACACAAAACTCAACCAAATGACCATTTATGAACGTAGAAACGACCTATATGAACATTCTAGTCATTAGATATATCTA